TGGATGGATGGATGGATGGATGGATGGATGGATGGATGGATGGATGGATGGATGGATGGATGGATGGATGGATGGATGGATGGATGGATGTGTTAACTCAAATTTATTTTTGAAAGGCCTAAAATTGTCATAAATGTCAATTCATGACATACACATTCCAAAAAAGTAAAAAATCAGACAATTGGACATTGTTTTCCAAGTTTGAAAACGGTTCGCTTCTGATCCAGGTCTGATTAGTATTGAGTTTCAAGCTTTAAAGAGTGGACCAAAAAAACGTCTTTTTTTGGGGCTTTTTTTGGCTTAGAAAACATGAAAATTGAACTTGAAGAATGGGTCCACCCCTTAGGAATGGAGAGTCATTGGGTTCTTTAGCCCCATTTACATTACAAATTTCAGACATTTTGAATTTAAAAAGCTTCCTGGATGGGAAGCGAAACGTCTTCAAACATGGAAAACAAAATTCAGTGGATTGTTCTTTTTTGGAATGACTATAACCTAGATGACTGAGAATCTGAGAATCACCAGCACATTACATACTTGCTAAATAATTGCAACAAAAAAGCTTAATGTTTATGTTTATTTATTTATAAATAAGAGATCTATGTGCAAGTCTTCACTTGCAAAGTATGCATTTAATATTTTAGAACACTTTCCTTTCACTTGACCTGAAGTTACATATTTACTTTTTGTGGAGTAATAGTAGCTGTGTCTAGTACCTCGTATGGATGTTTCCAGATGGCAATGCACCAGTCAGCTTTGTGTGCATGAAGCCAGGTTTCTGTGGTGCACAATGAGCACTCAATTCACTCAGAGACAGTTTTTATCTGTTTTTTATGTCTCTACATCCGTGCTGCTGTTTTGCCAGTTTCCTTTCTGCAAATAGGCGGCTGTTTTCTTCCTATGCTATATATTCTTTATTTAATCTGACCAAACCAATTTTTATTACCACACTGTTTTCTTTTCAAAGATGTGTTTTTCTGCTTTGCTCTGTGATAATATTTGAATTTTTCCTCTTTTCATGTTTACTCTTTTGTCTTGTGCGAGTCCTTCTTAGTCATTTGCTTTGCCATTTGCACTCTTACCTTTCCTATTTTTAGACTTCTATTCTATTTTATTCTATTCATCCCTTAAGTATGATAAGAGAAATGTAAATGTTCTAATTTTCTAACTTCTTGATTGCAGAAAGACCACAGACTTGACCCAAACTATTTTTTGGGTGCTGACAGTATTATTTACTAATTCTTTGCAGTAGCTTTAACCATGCCATTCCTTTTTGAGGTAAAAATAGAATCAGCTTTCCAGAATCCATATTCTGTTTATTGGCTCTGGTCCTGGTCTGAATGGCATTTTTACTGACATGTGCTTAATGTGCAACACATAATGTTGCACTTTGTAACCTACACACATCCTCTCCCATAAATACAGTGAGCACAAGCCTCAGTTGCAAAAATAATTTTTCATAATCCAGACTATTGTAGTGATCCCTGGTTTTTACATCTAGAATTCTCCTAAACTCGCACTACATTTTGATGTGTGTACGTAAGATAGAGAGGGAAAATATTGAAGGTTCAGGTCTGGGACAGTGGAAAAGTGTTTCATTGACAGCCAAAGAAGGGAAAAGGGTTTTGGTGGAGAAGTGAGTTCTAGCTGCAGAGGTGAATGGAGGGAACAGTAAGATTATGCTGCCAACATT